AGATTCTCGGCGCTTCAACATTTTCTAAGTTGTGGATGGACGTACTATTATTTACAAGTAAAACAGATCGGGAGCCTAAAACAGGTTTTGCTACACATGTAACAAAATGTTTTGTATCAGATGTTGTAACTGTATCAGGTCTCTGAATTTCGTGAATAGCATAGTAGTCATCGATATTATATATGTGAAAACAGTCTTTCTGATTAACAAAAAAAAAAAATTTTTAAATATATTATAAATTTTAATAAAATTATTTTATTAAATTACAAATGAATTTACATGTTTAATAAAATGTTCCTCAGTTTTTTTTACATGTTCATCTCGAATCTTTTTTCGAAAATTTTCTACCATTTTAGCGCATACAGTATAACCAAGCCTTGACATAGTATCAATTGCATCCTATGTAGTACCTGATGCTATTAGATATAACCCGACTTCTAATTTATGTTGATTAACAAATTTATTTCATAACCTAGCAATCATATAGCATAGTCCTACAATTGATTTTTTGGCCTCATTGATATTATATACAGAGTGTTCTTTAGGAATTATTAAGTTTATCATAAATTTAAAAAAACTCTGAAGTTGTGATCATATTGTTCAATCATATTCTCAAATCTTGTAGAGTTCAGCTCTAGATTAGCAGATTCCTGATATTGTAGGTGGTATTATACTTTTGTTAATATTTCTATATTCAAAGCCAATAATGAGCTTTAAATTTAAATTTGTTAGTAAAATGTTTTTTATAAAATAAATATATTTAAAAAAAATTAGATTACCTGTATCAGTAATATTTAGTCTAGTTTCTGCTAGTTTTAATATATTTTTTTTTGGATTTTTTTTTTCTTTTGTTCATACTCTCTTCTTCTTTAACTACAGTTAACATTTTCTACTAACTTACAATAATGCAGATAGCAAGGTTGCTTTCCTACTTCAATATAAGGGTATATTTGCAGTATTTGATTTTTGTAGCATTTCTTATATACAAGCTCCATTATAACACAAAACCTAACATTAGTATTACTGCAGTTAGTAACAAAATACAGGCTAAGGTTTTTAACTTTCATTTATATAAATACCCAAAAACAATTTAATTAATTCCTCTTCTTTTTTTTTTTTTTTTTTTTTTTATGATGTTCTAAGTAAAAAATATTAATCCATTAATTATCTTAAATAAAGATCGATAGCTAATAGTAGAATGATGTTAATTACTCTAGTAAACTTGATCAGAAACCTTATCTTGATTACAATGAACTTTCAACTTGTACTTGACTGCTACTGCAACTTGAACATAGTAAAGCTCTTGAAACTAGTTATACAGAAAGATTAATTACAATATAACTTTGACACAGTGAATATACCAAATGTTTTATCATAGCAGATCATAATTATACTGAAACTGCAACTGCAACAACTTAAAACTTCTATAAAAAAATTTTTTTTTCTTTTTTTATTATATTTGATATAGAAATTTTAACTGACTAATCATAATCAAATAATCATGATCAACAGATTGCATATTTGAAGCTAATAAAATAGAAGTTCTGTTATGCTATCAATTAAAAGGGCCCAATTATATCAAAATGAATTATATTTAATCATTTGTTTTGATTCTCAGACTAATCTAGGATTAACCAAATTTCGCAATTTTGATTAGTTAAATGTAATAGGTACTATCAGGCAATCTCGTAATATGCTTAGTCTTGAGCAATCTTATAATATGCTTAGCCTTATAATATGCTTAGCTTAGGTAGTCTTATATAATTTTGCTTCTACATTATCTCTATTTTTTATTATGCAAATTGACTTTTATTTATAATTAAAAGATGTCAATTATGTCAAAATTTACATGAATCTAATAAAAACAATTTTTTTTAAAAATATAAAATAGTCCCTTTTAATTGACAATACTTCATATTATTAAACTTTAAAGGTTAATGAGTACTTGAATAAATATTCAGGTATCCAGATTTAATGATACTAAGTGTCAAGGTATTAGACTGTATCTGATACCAAATATATCTGGCTCAAGGTTTATGAGATATATTTAATATTACTTAGTTCACTTGGTGTACCAACATGACTTTTTATTGTATTACACTTGTAAATCATTCACTTTTTCAATTTTTTTAACAACTCTTTAATTTGAATTTGTTTTTTATATTAAATTCATTGTTACATCATCTATGCATTATCATTATACTTTAATGCATGACACACATTGATCATTATCATGTTAGAGTGTGTAATGGCCTATTAAAATCAAATATAGGTAGAGTTATTAATAACTAATTGTGAATTTTCTAATAGTAAATTTAGTTATATATACTATTACAAGTTGTTTGATAAGCGAGTGAGAAAAAAATAATCTAAATTTAAAACAATGTCATACATATGATTATCAAAATCGATATAAATTTTATCAAAATAAATTTACATTTATTGACATAACTAATTAACCAAATAG